TAACATCGGACATTAGTATTTTTACGAAAACATTATATAATTTCAGCGGTAGATAAATCGGCGTGTGGCCGGTGAAGACCGTAAAGCACAGAGCTCCTTGTTTAGTGAATGGTATATACATCTACTCAAAATTAATTCACTCATCGCGAACCCTCGATAAGATATCAAGGAAGTTTCAGACCAGATAGAGGACTCAATAGTGTTTGTAAGGTTGTAAAACTTTTGTACATAGATCATTATTTCAAATAACTGTTATTGTAAATTGTGTTGCTGTTTTTATATTAACGTATATTTGTATTTTAAAAAACTGTGTGTATCAATCTTGTTGGCAAGTATCATAAATTGGATACATATCGACATTTATTTAATTTCGAAATCTAAATTATCATTTAACTCAGTTTCAGGCTATTCGAAATTATAATACGTTATGTAATACAGTAGACTAATTTACTATAATAAAATATACATATTTATGCTAATTTAAGTCTAGCTTCCCATGCAGTGTTGCAACAGAATATGATTTGTTGACATTTCCTCGGATGTTTGTGGATTTTATGTGAACAGCCATGGAATTGTTTAAGCCATATTATATTTTATGCAAAATTGCTTTCAGATTTAATCTCATAGCAATATTTTTTACAGATTTTCTGGGGGGGGGGGCATGCCCCAGATCCCTGTAGCATTAGCATGTGCATTGCCTACTGATTGTGCTTTTGATCTCACAAATCACAACCACCCCCTTCAAACATTCTGTGTATGGGCCTGCTTCTGTTACACAGAATGCTTCCTTTACGTAAATCTCAGTTTGTGGGGCACATTAATAAGTGCCCGGCATAGCCAGGTGGTTAGGGCGCTCGACTCGTAATCTGCGGGTCGCGGGTTCGAATCTCCATCACACCAAACATGCTCGCCCTTTCATCCGTGGGGGTGTTATAATGTGACGGTCAATCCCACTATTCGTTGGTAAAAGAGTAGGCCAAGAGTTGACGGTGGGTGGTGATGACTAACTGCCTTCTCTCTAGTCTTACACTGCTAAATCATGGACGGCTAGCGCAGATAGCCCTCGTGTAGCTTTGCGCGAAATTCATAACAAACAAACAAACAAACACATCAATAATACGAACAAATTAAAAAAATATTAAATGGTTTGACGAAAGTAAATAAGAAGCCTGAAGTAATAAATGTTTGTTTGTATCTCTTATCTTACCTATTACAGGTCTTAGAAATAGCTTATTTTCCAGGAGGTAAAATAACAAATATCACACTAAGATAACAAAGGGCATACTAATTGAGTGTTTTTACACTTTTACATTAATAATAAACTTGATTGACAGAATAACGAACTAAAGGGAACGTTTCATATCTTCTAGATTCGAGCGTGGCAGGTGGTTGAATACCTGGATTCCTTGAATGTGAACCCAAGGGTTTGTTGTTGCCAATAAATTTGGGACCATGAATGCGCTTTAACAGTGACGGTCACATCCCCCTATTCAGTCAGATAAGAGTAGCCCAAGAGCTAGAGGTGAATGCTGTTGTTTATCTATCTCTTCTAGACTACCAGTTCAAAATTAGATACAAGTGTGGGAAGATAGCCCCTTATGTACAGAATATCTGAACAGAATATCAACATTGCGCAACGTTTCAAATGGATGTTTCACTTGTAACTTTTTCATTGCACTAAACTTTGTTTGTTTGTAATTAAGCTCAAAGTTACACAATGGGCTGTCTGTGCTCTTCCAACCACGGGTATAGAAACCCGGTTTCTAGAATTGTAAGTCCGCAGACATGCCGCTGGGGGGCTGCACTAGAACTAGGAAAGTATTAGCTAAATTTAGATCTATATTAAAATTCAAACTCTGCTGGTACTCAGGTTAGGACGCTTGACTAGAAATCTGCGTGTCGAGGGTGCGAATTCCCGTCACCGACGATGTTCGCCCTTTCAGCCATGGGGGCGTTATATTGTAATGGTTAATCCTACTATTCTTTGGTAAAAGAGTAGCTCAAAATTTGGCGGTGGGTAGTGTTGACCCGCTGCATTCCCTCTAGTCTACCACTGCTTAATTAGAGACGGCTAGCGCAGATAGCCATCGAGTAGCTTTGCGCGAAACTCAAAACAAACCAAACAGATTTTCTTGTTGGTCTGTTTTTGCATGTGCTTATCACGCTAGATATTGTGATAAAGTAATTTACGATTTACCTAATGTACTACTCACAAACAGAAGAAGACGCAGCTCAGTGCATTCTCTCTGTTTATGCATGATTGTCCAGGCGTGGGATCACACCAGGATGACCTCAAAATGGAGGGCTCGAGTGAGTGTAGCCATTTTGGATAAGCAACTTGTTGGTTGAACCATGCTTAGATATGTTGGTGCTCTGTCCCATGATAGTGGTAGTCATATTTTATAATCTTATTAATAACTATTTCTTAATAATCAATAAATAAACTTTAAATTTTTAATAACACCAAGATGTTTTTTTAATAAATTGATTAAAATATTGTTTTTTAGAGCAAATCTCGACATAATCCACCATTGCTAATAAAGGCCAAAATTACAGAAATAGCGAAATGGTGTTTTTTAAATGACCTTGCACAAACATGCCTATAATAATCTCGCAATGTGACAAGTCTTGACCTGCTTGAAAATTATGAATCAGCATCATGAGCGAATTGTCTCCCTGTTGGGGAAAGGTAAATGTACAACGCTAGAATATCAGGCTCGATTCCCCGTGGTGGACAGAGTCCACATAACCCATCGTGCACTAAAACAACAAATACCAAAAAATACCAAATGGATGAATTAATTAACTTACTTGATTTTTCGAAATTTTGAGTTCATGGGAAGGTCCTACCTGAGTTACTGGATTTGCATACAATATGACTCAGGAAAGATGCCTCCATGATCTTCTAACTTGTCTAACATCAGTGACAAAAGTGAAAGGTATTGATGAGCTTTCATCGACCATTCATTCAGTCATATAATACGCCAAAACATAAGTATTTATTTCATAAGTAGTGCGAAGTGTATTTACTATTATTAAAAACAAACACATGAGATTCACCCTACAAGTTTTACCAAACAGTTTAACTTAGGTTAAAAACTATACTGATTTCCTACTAATTTGACTATAAAACTATTACTTTTTGATTAAAGAATAGACATTATGATTCTTAGCTCTTGATTCACTAACATAATTAAGTAGCAAGACTATCCATATAATACATAAGGTGTCACTTCATTGAAGCCAGAAGTTGAAATTGTTATTACTTTGAACGATAACAAACTATTCGAGACACTAACCAATTAAAGTAAGTGATACTGAAACAAAATAATCGATAAAACTCACGTGAAACTTAATCACGATCTATATTTTATATGAAATAACATTTAAAAAATATCAGCCAGTTGTCAAATTATACCGAGTCACAAAGTGTTGGTAATATGACGCAAAGCCTAAAAGCTGCAAACTTGTCATTTAGTGACAGACTGAGGCGAGTCTTTAGTTATGTGATCTTTTCAGGATTGAGACTTTCTGTCTTTGACTACAATGTGACCGTGAAGGAGCGTTTATATAAAAGCACACACCTTCCTAGCATCATTTTCAAGTCTATGTTCTTCATCTGCTGAAACGCCACTTCAGGTTCTCAGCAGCCGCCAAACACCAAAACGTCGTCCGTAGATTTCATCAGTCTCTTGAGAATAGCGGGTACATTGATAATTATAACAAACCTACTAGTCAATGGGTGAATACAGTAATAGTACACAGCATGTTACAAAACATTTTCGATGGCATCCATAATCATCATTGAATAATGCACCAAGGGCAAGTTAGGGATCAGGAGAGTAGATACAAAGGCCAAGGTGAACTCTGCTTCTATTAGACAAATGTTCTGAATCTTTTGAACCACAAAGAACTACCAGATTTGTATGGAAACGAGGCCAACGGAGTATAGGTTCACCAAGATAAGGCTCCAACTCATACTTCCTATTCAACTCTTGCATACCTTAAGTGACTGGAGAATAAAATGCATATTCATGCTATTCCATATGAACACATACCAATCAAGTCATCGGTTGCAGCATGTATGGATGTTTGTTCGAGCAGACTATTAAAATAGGTGCTGGGAAACCATAGATGAGTTATGGAAAGTTTGCAAGGAGAGTAGAGTGCCCCTCGAACACGGCGGCCTTACGATGGTGGAGCATAGAAATTACATTGCAAGGGTATTTTCAATATGCATTGTTGTCAGATATATCATGATCAGATATGCCAACACAGGCTGTAACGACGCGATGAGGTTCCAAAATCCTTTAATATAATGTACTCAACCTTTGTGGTCTAGGAAATAACATTTCTGTCTTAACGGATTGTTGATTTGAATGGCAAAGAAAACAGAAAAGCAATTTTAACTTGAAAGTGAGATGGTCTTAGATGTTAAAATTCTGTTCATTCTTTACAGAATTTCCGTCATGTCATCTTACCAGCACAAATCCGGCGCACAAAAGAGGCGTGAACGGGAGGCTCGGTAACAAAGGGAGAAGGAAGTGATCAGGGATTGTCGGACGTTATTTGAGGTTGGCTTCCAGCACGATCAGCAGCATACAGGTCCAGTACATAGGTCCACCTCAGCAGGATCAGTTAATACCAGTACTGCTGGAGATTATGATCATGGCAGTAGTCTTGACATATAAGACCAACATGAACTGCCAGCTAGACCAGAAAGCCCAGAAACACAGACAGAAGCATGTGCAGAGACGGCTTAAGAAAGCCACAAGAGAAAACAAGCCTAAAACATATGGGGTTGATATTGGACTTTGCTCATCAGACATTCCAACTAAAGAATGTATAGCAGACATGATTCGGAAAGGGCCTCTGCCACACCCAAAATATTTCCTCAATGATTTTACAGGACGAAAATGTCCAATGTCTGTTCTCAAAGTCAGAACACCAAATGGCGAAAGCGAGAGCAGACGATCGCTTGTATTCAGTCCTGGAAAACAGTCCTTGTATTGCCTGCCTAGTAGGCTTTTCTCTCATACAGTGGGCTCACAACTGCAAAGATCGATCATGGCATCCAAACAAGGCTGGGGTACAGAACAGAAATGGAAAAAGCTATTTGACAGGTTGCCTCAACATGAAAACAGTACAGCACACAAGAACTGTTATCTAGCATGGCGTGAGTTGGAGAGAAGGTTAGAAAGTGATACTGGGATTGATGTGATGTCTCACAAAGTAATCATGAGCGAGACTGAGAAATGGCGAAATATACTTACGAGGATAATTGATGTAATATTTTTTCTTGGCCAAAGAGGACTTGCTTTCCGTGGCTCATCCCAGCGAATTGGCGACATTCATAATGGGCACTTCTTGGGGATCATTGAACTCCTGGCCAATTACGATCCAGTTCTAGCCAAATATGTTGCAAAGATATGAGCTTCTCAAGTAAAAGATGAACGGCTTTAAGTTCACTATCTCTAAGGATCATCTCCAATTGAATTCATCAGTAACTGCGCAGATTATTTTCGGAGTCACATTTTGGATGAAATAAGAGCCACAAAATATTATTTAATCATGGTTGATGCAACATCAGATTATAGCCATGTGGAGCAGACAACGTTCATCATTCGTTATTTGGCCAAGGATGATACCAAATTTGCAGTTCCAGAACGATTTTTAACCTTTGTTGATTGTTGTAAGAATATGGGGGCTGAATTAGCAAACCTTATTATGGAAACACTCAAGCATTTTGGGGTACCTATTAAAGATTGTCGTGGACAGGGTTATGATAATGCTCCCAACACGTCTGGCAAGTACGATGGTACCCAACAGCACATACTTGCTGTTAATCCACTGTGCATTTATTCTCCATGTGCCTGCCATTTACTAAACTTATGTGGAGTAAATTCTGCATCATGTTGCATGGAGGGAGATAAATTTTTTTGAGTAGTGCAAACAGTTTACAATTTGTTTTCTTCCAGTCCTCAGCGCCAGGCTATTCTCAAGTGGGAGACCATTTGCAGCTCATCTTTCTGAAATACGACTCGCACTAAAGAAACTTCTGTCTCTAAACCTCATGCCAAAAACCACTAATGAAGTCAATGGTGTAATCAACTACGTGTCATCCTTCATTTGCATCCTTATGTCATCGATGTTGCAGAAGATTCTCGCACAGAACGACAGGAAAAATCAGATCGTCCGGGCAAGAGATGCTACAGTGGATGTAAAGGTCTCAAATTTTGACTGATCTTGAAGATCTACATGGGAAATGGCCACAGATTTTAAATGAAGCGAAACTGTTTGCTGAGGAAATCGAAATTGAACCCCATCTACCATCAAAATGGAAAGTTAAAAAAAAAGCAAGACTTATTGTCATTGAGGAGTAGGATGAACAAGGGGAGAACGTCCTAGAAAATCCTTGTGATGGTTCTGATGAGCCTGAATCTGAATTCAAACGGAATGTCTTCTTTGTTGTCATTGATTCGGTGATTAACGGAGTGTCAAAGTGGTTTGACTCTGCAAACACAATTAATAGGTTGTTCTGCGTTCTGTGGCAATATCGAAGCATGACAGAAGAGGAACTCAAACTTGCACGCGCAAGATTAGTGGACAAATACCCAGACAATCTCTCAGAATCCATGCATGAGGAAATGGAGAACCTTAAGGCAATACATGCATCAAACTTTGGTGAAGATATGGGGCCATATCAACTCTTAAAAACAATAAAAATGTACAAGTTAGATGGCATTTTTCCAAATGTATGTATTTCACTGCGAATATTCTGCACATTCTCAGCTACAGTAGCATCTGCTGAGAGATCTTTTAGCAAACTAAAACTCATCAAGAGCTTCTTGAGGAACACGATGATACAGGAGTGACTGAATGAGAGATTGAATGTAGCTTTGCGCGGAATTAAAAACAAACAAAACTATACGTATACTTCAGTCTTCATTTCTTAATTTTTTTTCTGAACTTACTAAAATACAGTTTTCAAGTTTTTTTATTTGTTTTAAAATATATACCCCTTCTTTGAAAACTTTGTTGATTAGGTAATAGATGTATTTCAAACATCAAACACCAGAGAGAAATGCATGTTTTTCGTACTAAATACCGTTCTTTTCTTAATAAATAACAACTGAAATGGGCATGTTTTACATTTAATATCTTGAAGAAAGCAATACTATTGCATTTGTAATTGCTTTTCTGCATCGTTAAATCGATAACACTTACTATCTCAAAATGTACAGGGTGCCCCAGAAGTCTGGACCAATAGCGAAAAATACACAATTTATTCTTAATTTATTCATTATTCAAGTTGCATGCAATTAAGACATATCGATTCTTGTTATACTCTGCCATCAGGGTATTTTCTTTCCAGAAATATGCACAACTGACATTAGAAATGTGTTTGTTTAACTTTAAGAATATTGTTGCGTCAGCAAGGTCACGTGACTAGTGAAATACTTCTATTTTCTAGAACTATCCTGTTCTTTTCGGAGTGCTCTAGCATTTGCTAGATTGGGGGTGGTCTGGCATATATAAGATGGTCACGGCGTGACGTAACAGAATGTGTGTAGGTAGTGAGTAATTGAACTGCAGTCAGAAACTATTGTTGAAGTTCGTTGTTATAGCGTTTGTTATAGAGCGACTGCTGAAAATAAGTGTATCGGTAAAGTTATATTCAGAAAGAATAAACCAGTTTTATTAAGTAAGGACTTGTGTCGCTAAAGTTTCGTCGGAACGAAGTTACGGAAAATCAATTAACGAACGGAGACGTAACAATATATTGTCTATTTTCCCTATGGGTACATACGTTTGGGACACCCTGTACATGCCCTTGATTTAAATAATGTTTGTTCATTAGTTTATTGAAAAACTGTTCACGTCATGGCGTTGATGGGATACAGGTATTCCAAAGTTACGTACACTGTACAATTAATTAAGATGAAATTTTTATATTCACCGCTTAGTACTTGTGATGCATTTTGTAATTCAAATAACGACTGGATATTTGCTACGACACTACTGTAGTTGTGTCATGCAATTGAGACTAACCTAATAGTAAATTAATTTTGAACCTAAATGTAATAGTTACTTAAGATTTACAGAAACTATGACCATGTTACTATATAGTTATATCATCATATATAATAAAAGCCTCTGTATGTTCATAAAGCTCTCACTGTCGGTAAGGCTCGACTCTTTCTTAGTAACGTTCAAATTGGTTCAGTGGTTTTTCTCAATCTGAAGTCTTGAGTTCAAATCCTAATCCAGCAAGAATTTTTTATATTTTTTAAAATTATTAACTCATCATGTTTAGAGCAAGATATTTCAATATTAGGAAAAAAAACAAAAACAAACCCGAATAACGGGATAGTTTACATTACGGAATTGAAGTATTAGTTAAAAGTAGATTAAGTGGCTGGACGTTACTGTGTTATATTACTTTCCTATTATCTGGAAGTCTCGAGTTCAAATCCTAGTAAAATCGCACTTGTGTGTTAGGTTTTTATTATTATGTTTATTTTTTATATTTATTATCATATTTACAATAAGCTTCTTGAATATTCGGGAAGATAGGAATACATTATAGATTAAATCAGGGATAATATCATATTACATAATAAACACCAGTGATTGTATATGTCAAAAAGAACTTAAATATCTCTTCAACCCGACAGATGGCGATACATTACATTATTATTGATGTTTTTCACCTTGAATAAGAGATTTTTAAAAATGTAGTCAAAACATTTCTAAGCATTTTTTAAAGGAAAGTTATATTTTTCCTTCACCATAAAATTCATTGCTTTAACCATCACAATTGATAAGTCGCAGGTTCAGACATTTGATCATGTAGAATAGTTCTTCGAGAACCAATTTTTTCGCATGGTTCAATTTTTATGGTTTTATAAAGATTTGAATATAAAATAAAGTATGCATAAGTTAAAATTCTAATCAAGGACCACCTACAGGAGATGATGAAATATATACAAAAAATGTCATTTTCGTTAAAACTAGAACAAGGATAAACATTCTTTATACATATATTGTTACTATAATACAGTGGGGGATAAAATATTGTACCACCCAATTCTTTTCACACCTTTCTACCATCTCGTAAATATTGTACCACCCAATTCCTTTCACACCTTTCTACCATCTTGTAAATATTGTACCACCCAATTCTTTTCACACCTTTCTACCATCTTGTAAATATTGTACCACTAAATCGTCAGTCTCTCTCTGTCTGCAGTTCAATTACCTTACATTGTTGCCGTCACTTCTTAACGGTCTTATATACATGAATACCGCATATCTGGTAACCTCTCGAGGCTTCAAGAAGGGGCAGGAACGTTCGAGAATATGACGTGTTACTAGGGTCACGTGACCTCCGCTGTCGTAACACTATCTTCAATCTGGAAATATCAGAATTCTTTTCTCTAATATGACAAAATTAAGTTACACTAGATAAGTTACACGCAATAAGCAAAATTTGGTTCTACCGATATTTTTAGAATTAACCGAGATTCCACGCATATATTTCTTAAGCGTGCTGCTATTTGTAAATTGTTCCTTTGAAATCAAATTGCTAAATCAATTAATATCTTCTATTAAATGTAATTAAACGCATACAACGACGTCAAATTTGTCTTTCAGGACATTTAGCATCCCTTGAATGATAAGTAGACAATTTCATTAAAATAAATATTTTATCATATATTTCTATATTGTTAATGTTTCACATAATTATAATAAGAGTAAGTAGTTTTTAGCTTTTTATTTGTTTTCTAATAACAGAAATATTTCGTGCTTAACCTTTTCACAAAGAAGGCAGAGATATGCTTGGGTTGATGCTAGATCGTGCTAACCAAATGTCGGTACATTTATTTATCATTTTATTTATTGATTTATCATCAAGATATATATATAATTATAACCAAAAAAAGTGGAAACTTAACTCATAAAAGCTAATTCAATAAATAGCGTAAGAAGTTCTTCGCCAAAACTGACGAATTCTACATACAAACGAGTTTTAATTCGTTATAGGTGTGGCATGATCTGTTGGTTAGGGCACTTTACTCGCAACCTGTGGGATTGAAACCCTGCGCCGAACATGTTTACGTTTTTATCATGTGACGGTCAATCCCACTTGTCGTTGGTAAAGAGTAGCCCAAGAATTGGCGATGGGTACTGCCAGCTGATTGCCATCCGTTTGGTTGTCAGTTCCAAATTAGGGACTGTGGTATGTAACTTTAGTAGCTTTGCCACAAACAAGCAAACTAACTAGCTAACCATTTATTGTACGCGAACTAACAGCGACCAAAGTTGACTACGATTTCTGAAACGTTTGAATGACAAGCCATCAAAATATTAGCAAAGCTTCTACGTATTTTGATCAATCAGTCTTAAGAACTAAGCCTGATAAAAACAAAATTAGAAATATATAGATATAGATAACTTGAAGTAAACATGTTTAATATAAATTATATTATTGTTTGCGTGGTATTTACCAGCGTACTCTGTGATAACAATTACACTAATAAAGGGATCAAAGATCATACTATGATAGGCATACTTTGAAAACTTCAATTTTCTCTGTTCCATTAAAAATAATATAAAAGAACATTACACGTCAATGCTTAGCTTCTATCAATGCAAACTATTTTTCAAATTGCTGCAGTGGAGTGTAGACAAGTAGGGACATGGGGGCCTATCCCTCAAACATTTTTGAGGAGAGATTATCATATTTTTGTCCCCCCCCCTAGTATTTAAAAATATTTTGGACAATTTTAATATTTCATATATAGAAAAATACTAGACCACCGTGACCCGTTGGGTCAACCACTATTCAGAGGTTATGAATAATTCAAGCTAATTTCAATATTGCACCCAAATGAAGGTTTATTTTGAAATAATTTAATTAAGTATTTCAATCCATTCGTGTTATTCATAATTCAAGAAAATATATATCATTTTTCAAAAAAGTGAAGTAAGAAGTTTCGTAAAGAGCGCGAACGGTAGTGTGAATGTTTTTCTGACTGAGAAAATAAGCAAACAAACAAACAAACAATCTCAGAGTTTTAGTAGTATATAGATAGATTCTTCAAAATCTTGTTTTTGTCATCTTATGCCTTTTAATGAAGATGGGAACATTGACAGGGTAATAATATAACAGCCAATGCTCGGCGAGAGGTTTTCGTTTATAAATTTTTGTTGTTGTTCTCGACTTGATTTTTATTTTATTACCTCGTCTCCATAGTTACTATTTGCAAATAGTCAATAATATTGTAGGTCCATTTTATTGTTCTTTTTACGCGCCGTTATAACACATTTTCATCTCATAATTTAATTTCTGTTGTGCATATACTGTTGTATAGAAGATATTTTAAAGTGATTCATCAGTGGAAAACGAATAGATAGATAGATAATCCGATATGTGGCGCCATCTAGTGTACCTAAATTCATCTAGAACTTTTTATAAAAGTGACCCGAAAAACGGCGCTAACTCTGTAACTCGTGACCCGATTTTAACGATACTTGCTTTATTTTGTTTCTATTCTCATTTCATTACAAATATGGTGGTAGTGTGCACTGTTTTTGCTGTATTTAATTACAGACAAGCACACACACAAACAATCTTAGAGTTTTAGTAGTATATAGATTTGGATGCGTGGTACCTCTAGAGAGAAATAAAAAACTATAATTTCTATGATGTAGGGGAGGCCGTCAATCTGAACAGGCCCCCAGACCCAATATTAAACTGCGTTGTTGCTAAAGGTTACTTTATCATATTATTATTTGTTATTTAGAAATGACAATTATTTTTAATCCCTGGTATACAAAGTCATCGGTGACATAACTTATTAGTTTTAAA